CTGAGGAACAGGAATATAACTTGATTTGTTATGTGAAGGCCCAGTACTATTACTAGTTATAATACTTATTTCATTACAGGAAATCCATGAATTTCGAAACCTTCTGAAATATTTGAATGAAGACCTTGCTCCAATAGTTTGCGTCTTGTCAATTGTCAACATTTCGTTTGCAGCCTCAGGAATCATATGGCTGCTGAAATTTGATATAACAGACACACAGACAGAACCCATCATTGGAGTCAGTGTTCTCAACACAATTCTATGGGCGCTGATTGCTGTTGCACCATTCATTCAGGTGAGGCGCTTAAAAGGCAGAAGACATTACAGAAAGTCTCAGAGTTACAAATATCAGCACATATGAATGAAATTATTCATATGTGCTGTTTCATACCCACTGTTCCAAGATGAGTACAGAGATTGATGATGCAGTTTTCAACAATGTAATTTTTATGTGTGGAGGTAACAAAAATTAGAGTTAATTTTAATGTAAAAGATAACAGCAGACCTTAATGTGGCAGTGCATTATTAAAAATAAAATCGTTGTGTCTGTTGTAACTTACAAGTAACTAAAAGTAACAAGGCAGTTTCACAGAAAATTGATACCTGGCATAAATCATTGGCAAAATGAGTAAAATTATTTGACCCGCGCCGTAGCTGCGCGGTCTGAGGCATCATACTTCGGACCGGTGATGTGGAATGCACGCTGGTTTGAGTCTCGGGGAAAAAATTTCTCATGATATTTTCGACCAGTGTATGGGACTGGTGCCAACCCAGCATCGTGAGGACATTGGGGAGCTACAATGTGTAGCATAATCTGGTCATGAAAACTAGCAATGGCTGGGGGTTCATCGTGCTGACCACACATCACCCTATATCTGGTTGGATGATCGTTCACCTCTGCTTAGGCATGTGAACGTGAGGCCAGCAGCCAGCTAGTCGGCTTTGGCTCTCAGAGGGCTGTTACGCCACGGATTATTTATTTTAGAGTAAAATTATTTACATGAATATGCATATGTGGTATATAATTTTATGCAAGAAAATGGGTCATTTTCAAATAATATACGAATGGATTGGTCAGCTACTATATTGCCACTATCCTCAAAACAGGCAGTACTGAATCGTCCATAAATTCCTTAATCATTCCAATATATGAAACATGTTTTCACAAAACATAATATGAAATGAAACCATTTCATTCAGTGTAATTCTTCACAGGCAGCCCGACTGACAGCTTCGTGTATTGCCATGCAGGATGTAGGTCATGAAGTACGTACCCGGCCATTTGTCTATGAGACTACACCTGAGCAGGATTTGGATAGTATTTTACTATATACATCATCTCTCCACATGACCTCAGAATTGTTTAAGGTCCCAGTAACTGGAAGGTACCTATGCATGGCTGCCACAATAGGAACCATTTTGATAATCACACTTGGGCAGTGTCATATTCTATAGAATTTTTATGTTTTTATACTCTTTTGGGAACTTTAGTTATTGCTGTTGTTTTTATGTATAAATTAATCTATTAACAATAAAAACTGAATTGTATAAGTTTGAAGTTCTTTCTGTTTTAACATTTTTGTTGTAAAGCACATTTGGAGCATTGAATGGAAGGATGTAAAATGGTCCAGATGGACAGTGTCTGCTCTTTGAGAATGGAAATTGTGATTTGAATGACTGCAGGATTGTATTGTCATTCAATTTCACCATGAAGATGTTTCAGACTGGTCAGAAAATCATAATAATTTACCTTATAAGCCTACAGATGGTATTTAGAAACAGAATTCTAGTTTCAGAGGTGAATGGCTGCATTAAACAACATTTGAATTTACAGAGTGAAATGGGCAAGAGATTATGGAGTATAGGAGAAGGAGGAGGAGGAGGAGGAAAGAATGAAGCAGGATGTGATATGGAGTATCATTATTAGAAGCTGGCTGTGTCAACAGAAATAAATATAATCATCTTAAAGTAAAATGGGTGTGCTGCCAATTTGTTGGCAAGGGGCTTGCAGTGGAAGCTTTATTTTCTTTTTGGCTTTTCAATACTTTTAAATAATGTAAAATATGTAGTTTACTGATATGCAGCTTATGCAACTTGTAATAATTAACATGCATCCCCATACTATCCATGTATCAAGCACAGTAATGTGTAATGTATAAGATGTAGAGGAAGCTAGAGCTTGGTGATTTCAGGTTGTCATGGTGGCAAAAATTAAGTTGGCTCTTCTGGATTGTTGCACTGTAGTCTGATCAGGGAAGAGGAGGAATACCTCTGAAGTATCGATTATGACAATAGTGTAAAATTTGGATTAAGTGTCGCAGATGATATCTGAAGTTTATAGACATGGTGCACTATGTTGTGCATTAAGAAATTCTAAATTATTTTTCAGTCCACACTAGAGACTACCATATACAGTATGTGCTATGAGTAACCAATTTTTCACTTTTACTGTGGATAGCTTATTTTTCTTACCAACAAATAGAGATATATAGATGGTAGCACAATCGAGCAACTGCAGTGAACTTGTAGTGCGTAGATATAACAAACACGCAATAACAGTAAAATATACTGC